GTGGGAGGTTTTCCAAAAAAAAAAAAGAATATTAAGGTTGAGGAAATCATCTGTCAAACTTTAACATAGAGAGTCTTGTAAGGATCCCCATTAGATTGCTTCCTGAGATCCTAACCTTCAGCCCATCAGACTGTGCTTTCACTTACTAGGTGCTAAAGGGACTGCCTCTACCACTTACTGAATGTTGGGATAACAGACTAATTTCCTTATAAGGCGAAAGACATTTCTCTCCATCCAGGGATGGCATCAAGGATTTTCTCTGCCTCAGGATTCCCTCATGAGACAGGGTCATCTGCTCAGCTCTCCTGAGTCACAGAATACAGAACTGTGAAGGGATATGAGACAATTTATTTCAAATAAGTTCCAGTGAAGCATTTTTCCTCTGCTCTGATAGGTAGGAAGGGGAATGCTGCTGCCACTGGAAGAAAATCACTCACCAGAGAACAGATACACTGTGCTAGACTCACAAGGTTTCTTGGGAACTGAACATTGATCTACTGGGCATAGGCACAACAACGGCTCTTCTTACTTGATTTTGAGAGAGCTATGGGTGGACCCCACCCATAGAGTGAGCAAGAGCAATTTATTGAATTGGTTTTTCTGGAGGGGGCATCGATCCATCTATATGAGCTTGGGCTCATGAGTGAATACACAGGGTTGCCTGTGTTCAGCTCATGGGACATGGTTCTCAGCAGTTTGCTTAGGTTCTAGAAGCATGGGTGTTTAAAAGAAACTCTCACTATGATTGATTAAGTTCCTTTCTGAGAGCAGTGGATTTAAGAAGTTCTGGACCTTTGTGTTGGATTATTGTACTGGTCAGCTTGTACTTTCTACTGGGGGTACTTTGTGTGCTGTATAGGTGTGGAGAAATAACCAGCTCAGTATCAAGGCAAACAATAGCAACAACTACAAAACAGAAAGCAGAGAGCTTCTATATTCACTACACAGAAGTCTATTACCCACTCAGAGCTCCTTCTGGATGCAATTAGTCACTTGTTTCCTTTACCTACAGATCTGACAATATTTTGTTCCTTGCTAGTTTCTATCTCTGTATTGATCAATTACTGTTGTGGCAATTCCTAAGCTATCATTTCTTTTTTAGCTGCACACCTGTAGCTTTTCCATGGGAAAAAAGAACTGTGGTTCTCAGCAGTCCATCAAAATGGGCTTTTCCTTGTTCAATATTTTTAAATAGATTGACAGCAAAATGTTAGCCTACATAGTGTACATTATCAGGGGACTGTCCTATTACTTTGGTATATAATACCCATGTGATTACCAGTAAGACCTACTGTTAACTTTGGTATAAGAATTCCCTCAAAATAAAATCTCATGTCCAGTCCAAGCTTAAGGTAGAATATGTGAGGAAATTGAAGAACAATTAGGTTTTCTGCAGCAATTCCCCCTCTGGGCCCCATTGTTTATATCCCAACCTTAATGCAAAATATTCACCTTCCATAGATCCCCCAAACCTTGATCCTATTACAATGTCAACTCAAAATTCAGTGCTTAAAAATCTAAATCAGGGCCACCAAGTGAGAAGGCTGTTGGGTTATGGGACTTAAATATAGCAATTGGGCAAAATATGCCTTTGTACATGGATCTGTGAAAGAAAAGAGAAAGCGGGGCTGGGAAGGTGGCTCAGGGGTAGAGTGCTTGTCTTGCATGCATGAGGTCCTGGGTTTGATTCCTCAGCACCACATAAGCAGAAAAAGCTGGAAGTGGCGCTGTGGCTCAAGTGGTAGAATGCTAGCCTTGAGCTGAAGAGCTGAGGGACAGCACCCAGGCCCAGAGCTCAGGCCCACTGACCGACAGAGAGAGAGAGAGAGAGAGAGAAATTTGTAAAGAGAAGGCACCACACATCAGTAGGATATTCATAAGATAATAGTTGTATGCATATAAACTTAGAGATACAAAATGCTAACTGGCTCATACCTGTAATCCTAGCTTCTCAGGAGGTTGAGATCTGAGGATTGCAGTTCGATGCCAGCATAGGAACAAATAAGTCCATGAGACTCTTATCTCTAATTAACCACAGAATTCAGAAGTGGAGCTGTGACTCAAGTGGTAGAGCACTAGCCTGGAACAAAATGTCTCAGGGATAGCAGCTAAGCCCACTGTTCAAACCCCAGGACTGAAAAGAAAAGAAAGAAGGAAGGAAAGGAAGAAAGAAAAGGTAACTGTAATACAACAGTTCTGAAATCACAATGAATAATTTTAATCAGTCCCTTGATAAAATTTCAAGCTTCAAAATGATAACTTTGTCCAGTGGCTCCATTCTGTGGGGTTTTATTTCCATCTTCAGTCATAATTCCTGTTTTATGGAGAGGAGCACAAGTTTGCATTTGAGTATATGAAAGTGTCTTGCAAATTTGTGGTCATGTGCACTAACTTAAGTACCTGGACCATGTGACTTTCCCTCCCCAGCAGAAAATTTTCTCTGCAGTATCTAGGATTGAAGAATAAATGTTATGCCAGGTATGGTGATGACTGCCAGTAATCCCAGATAGTCAATAGGCCAAAGGTAGAAGGATCATGTTTTCTAAGCCAAGTCAGGCTTACTCTATATGAAAAACAAACAAATCATAAAGTCCTGGGGTTATAGCTCAAGTGCTAGGGCATTTGTCTAGCAAGCAAGGCCCTGGGTTTATTTCCCACACACAAAATAAACAAAACACCATCATGGACTAAATCTGTTGACACTTATTACGGGGCTTCTCAGTATCCAGAACTATGAGAATTAAATAATTCTTATTATTGTCTGTGTCCCTGTCTGCAACTATCTGCCAATCTACCCTAAGAAAAAGTGTCTTATGGAACACTGAACAAATTTAAAAGATTTTTATTCCACTTGTGGCACCTTCTGACATGGAATTTACACTTCCATGATTGACTATTCCTCTATCCCTGTTACATGAAAATTCTATCAAACTAGGGACATGCAGTTTCTCAAAGCCTCAAAGACCCTACTCTGCAAATTTCCACTTGATCACTCTCATAAAGAACACCCTTATGCTAACTCATTCTTTTCACTTTACCTCTAAGTCACAGTTCTCCTGCATATCATGGGCTCAAAATATGAATAGAAAAGGCTGGGTCTTTAGCTTAGCTTCCCTTAGTACACTAATTGAAAACACTAACACAGCCTTCCAAAGAATATATTCTTGCAATTCAAGTTGCTAGAATTGGTGACAAGAGAGAAGTCCTTCCATCTTTCTGTCTATCCCATCTGTCTCTATTTGCATTCATAATAGCCTTAACAGTAATTTATTCTTATGTAAAGTCTGCTGAATTTTACTAAAGATAAACTAATTTTAATGCTGCTTTAATGCAATGGATTCAACCATCCCAGTTCATGTCCAAAATTGCCATAGTTACTTTTGCACTTCTCACGTTAAGAGATCATTACTCTTTATCAGAAACTCCTTGTGAAAATGTATAAAATTCTTATTTCCAGTATATGTTCATCAGCACAATGAGAAAAAAGAGTCCAAGACACTGGCCCAATTCCCAGGAGAAAATTTTTTTTCCCAGTGTACTCATAAACCTCAGGCCTAACCACCTGTCCCTGAGCTTTTTTCCTTCCAAGCTACCAGTATACCACCTGGGCCACAGTTCCACTGCTGGCTTTTTGGTAGTTTATTGTAGCTAGGAGTCTCACAGACTTTCTTGTTGTTCTGACTTTAAACCACGATCCTCAGGTCTCAGTCTCCAGAGTAGCTAGGATTATAGGCATGAACCACTGATGGCCAGCACTTTGCATGTTCTTAAGAGTAGGCTCCCATCTTTGGGTGTCTCTACAACAAAAGATACAGACAAGTGTTTGTGTTCTTTCTTCTCTTTTTCACTGGTCACTTGTGTCCACTGTGGTTTGTTCTTCTCTCTCCTGTGTTAGGCTACAGTTAAGTATACAATCCAGCAAAGGAAGCAAATCAGGAACTGAATCTATTTACACCTTAACCTGGGACTTCTCAGCCTCTAGAACTTGGAAGACTAAATGTCTGTTCAGCTTAATTTTGCTCTTTTTCCCATCATCCTAAACTCAGTCATGAGTATTTGCTTATGGCACCCAAGGAGACTTAATGATTTTAGTCTTTCAACTGTGAGACACCTTTTGAGAGCATGGAATTGACTACTTCCCTGACTCTGAGTGGCCCACCACCCATATTAGATGAAAATTCAAACAAATGACATTTGCATTTTAACAAACTCCCAAAGGCCTTTCATTGCTAAATTTCTACTTGATAGTTCTGATTAAAAAAAAAACCCCACCTTCATGATCACTCATTTCTTTACATCTAAGACATAGAAGGTAGTTGAGCATTTTCCATGTAGAGCTGCATCTTATGGGCTGAAAATTAGTACAAGCAAGGACTGAGTAAACTAGTTTAACTTCTGTTAGTATATCAAGCCTAACACCCTCAAGAAATACTTGAAAAAAATACAAACATCAGTCTGTTTTTTTGTTTTTTTAAATTTTTTTTGGGGGGTCCGGTTGTGGGGCCTGAACTCTGGGCCTGGGCGCTGTCCCTTAGCTCTTCAGCTCAAGGCTAGTGCTCTACCACTTGAGCCACACCACCACTTCTGGCTTTTTTCTTTGCTTATGTGGTGCTGAGGAATCGAACCCAGGGCCTCAGGCATGCAAGAGAAGCGCTGTACCACTGAGCCACCTTCCCAGCCCCAAACATCACTATGTTTTATAAACATTTTAGTTCAACTTTTTTTTAAAAAAAGGTTTGAAACCAATTTTAGCCAAATAACAGTAAGAGCAACAAGAAAAAGCAAGGATGAACCATGTTTAACTTTTTACCACAAAAACATTCTCTACTCTATTATTTTCACCAAAATTCGCATTGTGATGGTTGTATTTTTTATTTGGCCAATTTTACAGCTTTAGATTCAACTGATATAGGATGACTTGCTGGATGAATGGCATTAGAAACTGCACAAGCTTTGATAATGGTGCCAGGCTTGTGTGTTTCTAGGTTCAGGGCTCCTTTCTAATCATTCTCAGAATCTTCACAAATAGAAGCAAAGAAAGAAGGAGCAAGTTCATTAATCTTTGCCAAAAACTTGAAGACTTCCATCTCGTTAGTTTCAGCATAGGCTTGAGGACCCCACAGGAACTCATAGCGTGGAGGATCACTGTTGGGCACCTGCCGGGACTCTAGGTACTTCAGCCTCACCAAATCTTTCATGATGAGTTTCTTGGGCTCTCCAAAGGCATAGTGCTTCTTCCCAGGGTATACTTGCATCAACTTTAGGAATTTCCAGATGTCTTCCTCATTGACACAGTTACCCTTCAATAATATCATACCTAGGAGATTCATCACAAAACCAGCCTTGGGGTAGCCTTTGCCAGGACGTACTCTCCCATTGTTGGGGAGTTTCAATTTGGTCACAAGATTATATGTGTCAGGGCTCACTTCTCTCACTTCAACTGCAAAGACAGCAGAGAGGTGCTCACAGGCTTTCCTGAAGATCTCCTCAAAATCCATTTTACAGTCTGAGTCAATGATATTCAACATTTCTTCCTTGGTAGTGAGCTTCTTCAGATTAAACTTTGAGAGTATGAACTTCTCCAGGAACCCAACCTCTCTGGAGACAAGATGTAGGTGTGAAAACTCTGTATAGCAAGATTTCTCAGAAGGGGTTTCTTGAACTTCTTCTTGGATTTTACTGCCAGATGCACCTATGGCAATAGCAGCAGTAGACAATGCTGCAGAAACAGCCTCATCTGATGACAGTGCAGATGATACTTGAGAAACACCCTCATCAGTAGGAGCCAAATGAGGTGCTGCAGAGACCCATCCATCATTAGAGGCAGAAGATGTTGTAGCAGAAATACCTTCATCAGTATGGCCAGTAGATAGGGGTGTTGAAACAGCACCAGCAGTAGCTCCAGCCGACGGGGTTTCCCTAACTCCTTGAGGAGTGCTACATGACTCAGCTATGGGCATCATGGAGGATGTAGCACATTCTTCAGCTATCATTAATATTTCTTCAGCACACCTACAAATCCGGGTATGACAACGAGCCTGGCGGCGCTTCTCTCGTGCAATGAGCTTACTTTGCTGACCTCGAGGCATGATGACTTTTGTAGGGAAAAGAGGAAACGTGTATGCCAGAAAGGTTCTGAATCAGCAACCTGGAGGAGGGAGAATTAAATTGTATGAGTACCTTCAGTAGGGAGAAAGCTGATTAGTTTTAACCAAGGCCCATCTGCAGTTTTCAATGAGATCAGTGTTTACTAGCAACTCCAAAGGCATCTATTTTTATCTGCATGTTTCCTATGAAGCAAGACACAATAATTCTTAGGCTATAGTTTTCCATGCATAAGTAGGCTGGATACGGTGAGGGGAGGGACTAGTTTTAAAGGCCCTCTGATTTGAAATTTGGGATCTCCCCATCTGAAGTCGAAAATCACCACAGCAACTGTGGAAAAAGTATAATGTTCTCCCTTCTGATGTTCTGGCCCGGCAAATAATAATGTAAGATGTCCTTGAAACTCTTTTTTTTGGGGGGGGGTCCAGTCGTGGGGCCTGAACTCTGGGCCTGAGCGCTGTCCCTCAGCTCTTCAGCTCAAGGCTAGCACTCTACCACTTGAGCCACAGCGCCACTTCTGTCTTTTTTCTTTTTGCTTATGTGGTGCTGAGGAATCAAACCCAGGGCCTCAGGCATGCAAGGCAAGTGCTCTACCACTGAGCCAACTTCCCAGCCCATGTCCTTGAAACTCTTGAGGGAGAATTGAAGGAGTTTTTCACTCTGTCATTCCTTTCACAGTTATAATGTGGAACCCTCTCTGTCATTCACTTATTGAACATGCAAGACTCCATCTGGAAGTCACTTCAACTTCAGGTAGTATTTGATACATTTTCTTCAATTTTACTGACTGGTCATTGCACCGTCACCAGAATTCAAGTTTTAGAATTGCTATCCCTCAAGCTGACAGTACTGGCCTTGGCTTTCTAGGACTGAATGTATGAGTTGGTTTCTAATTCTTTGTCTGCACCATGTTGCATGGTACAGATCTTGACCTCTGAACTATCACTACACTAGAATATCTTGCTGGGATCGCCTGAGAATATATCAGAAAATGATGGCCACCTAATGAGCCACTGATGTCATGAGGCTTAGAATATGGGAGGTACTAGATGCTAACCTCCTGATATAGTCCTCACATGACGGTCCTCACCTTAGTGCTAAGAAATACCTAGAAATTCTTCTATTTTGACCTTTAGTCCATCACTGTTAGATTATATTCCTCAACACTGTTAACAACACCTTATGTTATGGGAGGAAAATGAGTACAAGTCATAATATGTTTGAATAGACATGCAACCAACAGTGTGGTGGTTCACTCAATCTCCCATGGGGTCTTCAGCTACACTTCAGGATATTCTTGAGAAGTTTCAATATATTGACACAAGGATGTGACACTCTACCCCAAACCCTGGGTCCCTGAAATCTTCTTGTTAAAATTACCTTGGTAGACTTGTCTGGGGATGGCAGGGCCTGGCTGAATGCATGCAACCTCACTGTTATGGAATCAGTAGTTTTCTCAGAAATCAGGCAAAGCCAGAACATTCTGGAATTCATGTGAACATAACACTCTTTTATTTATTTTGGTGATTTTTAAGTTTAGGGTTTCTTTTCCGGGGATAGAATTGATCCTGGGGCTTGAACTTGGTGTCTGGATGCTGTCCTTGAGCCATTTTATTTATTTTGGTGTTTTTAAGTTGAGAGGTTTTTTTTTGTGGAGGGTGGGGAGAATTGATCCTGGGCTTGAACTTGGTGTCTGTATGCTATCCTTGAGTCATTTTGCTCAAGGCTAGCATTCTACTACCTGAGCCACAGCCTCACTTCTAGATTTTTAATGGTTAATTGGAGATAGAGACTCATGGGCTTTCCTGTCCATCACTGGCTTTCAACTGCAATTCTCAGAATGGCCTCCTTCAAACAGCTTCCTGAATAACTAGGATTACATTCATGAACCACCTGCACTTGACTTTTTTAAAGTAGTGGCTATGGATATTAAGACCATGTGCTTGATTACCAGTCCTCTTCCTCTGGTTATACTCCCTCTTCTGACTTGAACCCATCCATACACTTCTTCTTCCCCTAGTCACTTAACTAAACCTTTTTGATCTCTTTACTATCATGGAGGAAACATAGTTTTACACCTGCCGACCCTCCTCTAGCTCTCACCCATGAGTGCCCCACCTTCTCTTCTGGTATTCTTTTCTTCTCACCTCCCTTTCTCCCACCCCTTCTTGCCCCTCCCCCAACATTACACTTCAAAAGAAGCCTTTGTTCCCCATACCTTCACTTTGGAAAAAAGTTAACACTGATGGACTACCATGGCGAGGAATACTGAGAGCCACAAAAAGGGTCTTCTGGTAAAATCTCCCACCGAAAGGTTCTTAACCAACCAACAGTAACAATGTTACTTTAGATGTTTCCTAACTGTGCAGAAATGGAACCGCATTCGTTTATTTTTTTTTACCCTCATGAGCCTGAGACCCTAAGGCAAAAATGGGTGAGCATTAAAATGGCTTCCGTCTGTATCTTGTAGTTTCTTTTGTTGACTGGGAACAAGTATATTGTCTTATAGAGAAAGAAGGGGGTACTCTTTTGAGATAGGGGTTTATGTCATTGTCTTCCAACCTCCTTACCGCTCCTTCTTCAAGAAACTAGAACTTCTCCCAGGCTTAGCGACACCCAGCAGCCAGACTGTGAGCTGCTCCGTTTCCTGAAATTCTCCAACCGGAAGTGGCAGCTCTTCCGGAAGTTACATTCTTTGTTTCAGAACATTCTAATTTGAGTGGTCCTTGCTTTAGGCGCCTCTCTCAGCCATTCTCCCCACCCCCACCCCACTATGAGGTCACTGTATTCCTGAGCTCCTTCTCCGGAAACAATCTTGACTGTTCCGACACAGCACACACTAAAGAGAACTTGCTTAGCAAACACAAGGCCCCCAAGTTTAATTCCGATATTTCGAAAGAAAAAGAAAGTCAGTCATAAAGTTATCCCACTAGTAGCCATTTGTAGTGTATGTGACTAGACCTGTGAGCGATTCATACGCCAATCATTTATAGATGTGGTAATCATCCAGGTCCTCAAGAAAGCATCGGTATATTTCCCTCATGCCCGCCCCCCCCCCCCGACGCCCCCTGCCAGTACTGGGGCTTAAATTCATTTGATTTCAGGGACTTACGTTTTCCATGGCTTTTAGGGAGAGCCCTACACTCTACCACTTGAGCCATACCTCTACTACTGGCTTTTTGCTGGATTACTGAATAGAAGCATGATCATCAGAGCTTAGCTGGCTGTGTAGCTAGGATTATAGGAATGAGCTAGCAGAGCCTGGCTTGCTCCTGTCTCTTTAAAGACTCTTCCAAATGCAACATCGCTACATATTTTTTTTTTCTTTTCTGGTAATGCTTGGAATTTAACTCAGAAACTTATTCTTGCTTGCCTGACCCTCTGTCACTTATCCATTAGCCTCATCAGACTCCTCTCACTCCAAAGCTCTTCAGGAGGAGACACATGCCCCCAATAAATAACAGTTCCTTGGGGGAGCTTACTTCAAGGGGAAGGAACTTCTGTAATTTCCTGTGGGTTATATGGCTGTGTCAGTCACAGGACATCCTAAGATTTTATTGGTCCTGGCACTTCAGGCTCATCCCCTTATAGTAATATCCACAGATCCCTATGTTCCTCTTCCTGAAGCCATTTCCACGGATGACATATAGCTCAAATTAAAGAGCACTTGCCTGAGAAGTTCCTGGTCCCCAATTGAAAACCTTAATACTATTAAAGAAAAACAAAAGAAATCCATCTGACAATTATCCCACTATGTCTAAAAGGAGGTTATTGAGTGTGTAACCGGTCCAGGCCCTAGAGTTAAGCTTCAGGACCAGCATACACACACACACACACACACACACACACACACACACACACTCACAAAGTTTGCATAGGGAAGCTTAGACAAGGGGAGACAGCAACTATGGTACCAGTTTTTATCTGGGTTATATAGCTGAGTCAGTCTCTGAATATTCTAGATTTGCTTGATCCTGCATCCTTATTCTCTTCCTTTACCACTCCTCCATATTGTAAGGTCCTTGCATTGCTGAACTTCTCCTCCAGGAGCCATCTTGGAAGCTTTGACACAGCTTGAGGTAAATATCAATTGCCTAACAAATGAAAAGTGCAGAGTGTAATTCTAATACCTTCATAGAAAAAAAAACACAAATCAGCCTGACAGTTATCTCAATATGTCTAAGAGCAGTTTATTAGAGTTTATGTTTGGTTCCATTTGTTTTTGTGTATACTGGGTACTTATTGAAGATCTCCTGCTGCTTTCTGCCTCTTTAAATGAAAATTACCTACCAAATTCCACATTGTAACACTTTTTTCTTCTTTCCTCGTACTTTCTGGGTTTGAACTCAAGCACTTATTACTGCTTGGCTAACTGTAACTTGCCTGGTTTTTGAAGTAAGCCTCTCACATTTCTAAATCTCCCAGTAGATTGCTAGTGCTACCATTAAAGTTCCTAGGGGAGTCTTATTGTAGGAGGAAGGAACTTGACTTAGGCATTTCCCTGATTTATGTAGTTGTGTCAGTCTCTGGAGATTCTAGATACATTGGTTCTGGAAGTTTAGGCTCATTCCTTTTGCATTCCCCCTTATAGTAAGGTCCTCATATCACTGACTTCCTGGTCTAGAGCTATTGTGGCACATAGCATGTACCTCAAGCCAAGAAGCACTTAAATGAGAAGTCCATGATCTCCAGTCATTTCTGCACTACTTTGAAAGAAAATAAAAAGATTTCTTGCTATTGTTTCTAACGTATTTATAAGGTACCATGTGATTTTTTTGTTGCTTTTTATGTTTCTACCCCACGGTATAACCCCTGTTTTCAATGTATTTGATGTTGGTATAATTTGGGGAAGGGAAGGGAAGAAACAAAATGTTTAAATAGGGTACAGGTTGACCCATTGTAACAATGAGATGTACAAGACACTATGTTGAAAAACGAACTTTACAATTTAGGAAGGGGGGTGGAGGAGAAGGTGGGGGGAAGT